AAGAGGTCGGAGGAGAACTCACCACCTCTGTCAGAGTGCAAGCGCAGGACAGGAAAGTCCGAGTGGAAACGCTCGCTGAGCTGGAGACGAGAAGCGCTGATCCAAGGGATCAAAACATCAGGGACCTCACCCTTGGTGCGCAAGGGGAAGACCGTGGTGTAGCGCGAGTAGTCGTCAACAACTATCAGGAAGTACCTCTCCTGACCCTGACCACGGACTCGGGCTGGGCCCCACACGTCCATGTGGAGCGTCTGCAAGGGAGCAGTCGTCGGGGGAAACGAGGAGGAGTGAGGAGCGGCGCGCTGCCGCCCCTCGACACAGGGAAGACAGGGAGGAGCAGGCGAGGGTGGGAGGGGAGGGAGAACCCTGGGAAGACCAGAGACAAGGTACCGTTTGTGCATGGCACGAAGGCGCTGCACGGACGGGTGACCAAGTCGGTGGTGCCAGAGGACGGTCTCGTGCGCCAGAGAGCGACACGAGCAGGGGGCCGACAGCTGACCTGACGCAGACGCAGACGCAGCTACCTGAGGGGACTCAGTGGTCAGTGTGTACAGGTCCGACCCCGGCTGCCGAGTGAAGGTAGCCAGGTGACGGCCCGTCCGAGCACACGTGCAGTGTGTCACGCGCTCGTAGGCAGGGGTGAACTGGTGAACACCCCCGTCCTGGAGCGCACAACCCGCCACCAAGTTCGTAGAGAACGAGGGGAGGTGGAGACCTGACAGTGTGCCCGACGGGACCGCAGGACAAGGAAGGACAGTGGAGGAGGTCGCAATGACCGGACCCCCAGAGGGGTCAGCGAGGGAGACAGCAACTGGCCGAGCAAGCGGCTCAAGGGCAGTGCGGTCACGAAAGAAACAGCGAGAAGCACCTGAGTCCAGAGTGAAGGTGTGCAGTGCCTCAGTCGACTCAGTACCAGGGGGCGCAGACTCACTAGCACCTAGAGCAGCAGCCTCACCAGCACCTGGGGTAGCAGACACGCGAGTACCGGGAGTGGTAGCCTCACCAGCACCTAGGGCAACAGACGCACTAGCACCTAGAGCGGCAGCCTCACTCACAGGACACGGCAGCTACACCTGTCCACTACCAGAAGCTCCCGAACGACGCACTCCAGAGCGACTACCACTACGGCCACCCCGACAGCCCCAACTGGCGTACCACTCACGAAGCTGCTGGGGCGAAAGAGGACACGGCAGCTGCACCTGTCCACTACCAGAAGCTCCTGACCGACCCACTCCAGAGCGACTACCACTACGGCCACCCCGACAGCCCCAACTAGCGTACCACGCACGAAGCTGCTGGGGCGAAAGAGGACACGGCAGCTGCACCTGTCCACTACCAGAAGCTCCCGACCGACCCACTCCAGAGCGACTACCACTACGGCCACCCCGACAGCCCCAACTAGCGTACCACTCACGAAGCTGCTGGGGCGTGAGGGACTCACGCGCACGGCCCTGGAGCTGCATCTGGCCATGCCAGAAGCAGCAACAGTAGCAGTAGCGGGAGTAACAGCAGTAACAGCAGGAGCAGTAGCAGTGGGAGTAGAAAAGGCAGTAGCAGCAGTAGCAGTGGTAGCAGTGCTGGCAGGGCAATGCTCACCAGTGGTCGGCGCGGCAGGCGCAAGACGGTGGCGACAGCGGGGCCGCTACAACTGCAGGGCGGGGCCGGGCCGCAGCAGGGAGCTCCGCGGCAGCTGCTGCACGGCGAGGCCGGGCCGCGACGGCAGCTGCTCCACGTGCCAGGGGCGGCTGCTGCAGTGGCGGCTGCTCCAGGGGCCAGGGGCGGCTGCTGCAGCGGTGGTTGCTCCAGGGGCCAGGGGCGGCTGCTGCAGGGGCGGCTGCTCCAGGGGCGAGGGGCGGCTCCTGCAGTGGCGGCTGCTCCAGTGGCCAGGGGCGGCTGCTGCAGGGGCGGCTGCTCCAGAGGCCAGGCGCGGATTAGGTCAGGGCGACGCGGCGAGCAGGGCGACGCGGCGGGCAGGTGGCGACGCCGCGGGCAGGGCGACGTGGCGGGAAGGTGACGCCGCCTCTCATCATCCTCTCATCATCCTCTCATCATCCTCTCATCATCCTCTCATCATCCTCTCATCATCCTCTCATCATCCTCTCATCATCCTCTCATCATCCTCTCATCATCCTCTCATCATCCTCTCATCATCCTCTCATCATCCTCTCATCATCTCTCATCATCTCATCTCCACGCTCCTGCCTCTCTTCGTTTTCTCGGCCTACCTTATCATTGTGCGTCTTCGTGTTCCTCCTCGTGTTTCAACATTGCTGTTGTTTCTCTCTTATCATCGAAGCTCCTCGTAAGAATTGCTCCCCATTTTGGTCTGCACTCCCGAGTTAGACTTAATAATTCGATTGATTCTTTTTTTTTTTTCCCACTTCCCTTTGCTATATCAATCAGAGGAGGAATGCAGAGCTGCGGCAAATTCTCGACTTCAATACCCTTGCTGCTGCTGGTATGCCACCTCTCCCTCCTGCTCCTTCTCTCACCTGCTTCCCACTCGTCACATCCCTATAGCGCCCTCTTTGATACTCCTGTTTTATTGTCATAAAAAACAGGGAAGGCAGGTCTCACCCACACCTTCCAACTTTTCTCCCTTCCACTCCGTCTTTCCTCTCTCTCGAATGTGGCATCTGTAACAACCTCTGCCCTTTGCCTTCACTCTCTCTGCCTGCGCGGCTCCACGCACCCCCTGCTCTTCACCCTCCCTATTACTCCCCTTCATTCCCTCTCCCCTCCCTTCCTTCCCTTCCCTTCTCTCCTTTAGGGCATCAGTAGCAGCCTCCGTCTTTCTCCTTGCCTCCCTCTGGCTGCATGGCACCACACACCACCTTCTCTTCATCCGTCCTCTCATTCCGCCTCCTCTTTTCTCCCTCCCTTTCCGTCCCTCCTCTCCCTCAGACGTGGCATCAGTAGCAGCCTCCGCCCTTCTCCTCGCTTCCCTCTGGCTGCACGGATCAACTCGTCACCTTCTCTTCACCTCTTCTGCTGCTCTCTCCACTGCGCTTGCTCTCTTCTGGTGCTACACCCTGCTACAGTAAGTATCACTGCATAAATTTCCGGTTACAGGTGACTCGAAAGGTTGTTCTCTCCACTGCACCCGCACACCAATGGAGCTACACCCTGCTACAGTAAGTATCAACGGTTGCAACGTAGCAGTTCTTCTAGTGCTACATCCTTCTACAGTACGTATCTACTTTTGCATCACCCTAGTGTTTCATCTGGTGCTACACCCTGCCACAGTACGTATTGCTGCCTAACCCTGCCCAATTGTAGTATTGATTCACTTTTGAGGCGACTCAAAAAGTGGTTTCCCCCACAGCACTTGCACAACCCATGACCGTGTTGCAAATATGTGGCGGCAATTCTGTGGGCAGTCCATGTGGCATCATTTATTCCCCTTGCTCTCTTCCCTTGATTCACTCTCGTGTGCCACAATCAAACTGCCAGGCTGGCAACACCGTTCCGGTGGCGGCTCTTCTGGTTACCCCTCACAAATCCAGTGTAAGAGTGCTTGTCACCCCTGCTTCTCTCATGTCTGTTCAACCCACCTGCATCTCCAGTTGTTTGTTGGCCTGTTACCATCCCACCAATGCACGTTACGCAGCTTCTTCGCCACTTCTGTGTTACATCTTTGTTCTTGCTGAGCTATTATTGATAAGCGTCATAGTGTTCAATTGATACTCAGCTGTGGTACTTTTTTTTCTCCCTGCGCAGGTTTGTACTGCTTGCAGTGTACATCCACCATTCATTCAGCAGCGTGGAAAGAGAGATTGCAAAGCTTCGCGTTCTCAAGTACGACCACAAACGAGTTTAAGGTCTTAGAGGACAGAGCCTGTCTACATTGCAAACACGTATCACGTTACATACAAGGTAGTAGCAAATGGTGTTAAAGCCAAGAGGAGAAAATGGGAAGAAAGAAAGCAAGAAAGCAGAAGCCAAAATGGGAAGAAAGAAAGCAAGAAAGCAGAAGCCATAATGGGAGCGGAGGAGAATCCATGGCACAGAGGGCAGGAGCACACCTGATCCACACCATATATGTAGCCCGAGACTGCCGCAAAATGTGGCCCATACAGGTTTCGAACCTGTGACCTTCGCGTTATTAGCACGACGCTCTAACCAACTGAGCTAATGGGCCGACGATTTGCTTCCTGTATTAAAAACCCTAACTGTTAAAAACCGAAGCTTCTCCGTGCGGTTTGGTTTGTTTGCTTTCGGTTGAGAGGGCGTTCCGTCTCACCAAAAAAGTAAATGCGTGCGTATGCTCATACCCAGTCTGGATGCTCATGTCCTTTTCTTCCCTCTCATTCTTCTTAATGCTTCCCAGCAGGCACGATGAAGAGGTGGCAGCATGCATGGCGGTCATCAGCGCCTTTCACGGCGACCTATGCCATCTCTCGCCCTCGTGTCGCTCACAGACTGTGGGGAGCGTGCGAGTCCGAGCGTCGCAGCTCTTTCATAAGCACCTCTCAGATTCACCATGCCTGAAGCTTGCATGCCTGAAGCTTGCATGCCTGAACCTTGCATGCCTGAAGCTAGCATGCCTGAAGCTAGCTGCAACCATCCCTGAGATCGGCAGGCGGGAAATCGGCATGCGTGGATTGATAATCGAGAATGGCGATCTCCATGGTGGTCTTCTCACGGCGTCGCGTGCGCAGCGTTCCAACCTTTCCCTTACATAACTCGCTCCATAAGAACCAATCTCCAAATTCCTCTTCTTCTGACCTCTCTTCCAGCCTTCGCTTCCAGCTGCTTTCAATTCGCACTTGTATCCCACCTTGCGTTACACCTCATCAGCAGCAGCGAAGCACTCGGTCTCAAAGCACTCGGTCTCGAAGCACCCGGTCTCGAAGCACTCAGTCTCGAAGCACTCGGTCTCAAAGCACTCGGTCTCGAAGCACCCGGTCTCGAAGCACTCAGTCTCGAAGCACTCGGTCTCGAAGCACTCGGTCTCGAAGCACCCGGTCTCGCAGCACTCGGTCTCGCACCTTCACGCCATGGCGACGACTATTCCCGCGCAGCGCCAGGCGCAGCAGCCCGTCGTGGAACACGAGATGGAGCCGCGGCCGTCCGTCACTCGCGAGGCATACAAACCGGCCGACAAGCTCAAGGTGCGTTTCTGGGTGCATGAATTGAGGTGAATATTGAATTGAAGTTGTTTCTAAGGTACGAAATCATTTTGTAGCGTAAGGGCTTGTCAGCCCTTCTAACAGCTAGGATAAGATGCCCATGATTGTCTCAGAACTTCTAGAGTAAACTACTTAGTTCCTCTGCTGCTCTCTTCACTTCTCGTCTCTTTGCAGGGTAAGATCGCGCTGATCACGGGAGGCGATTCAGGCATTGGGCGGGGCGGGGCTCACCATTTCGCATTGGACTAAAGGCTCACTTCACTTGCCTATTTCCTCTGCTTGCTCTCTTCCATTTTCGTCTTATACAGGGTAAGATCGCACTGATCACGGGAGGCGATTCAGGCATTGGGCGGAGCGTTGCACACCACTTTGCACTGGAGACCCTCCGCTTGCTGCGCGACGCCCAACGCCCCGAGCACAAGCAGCCGCTCGCCATCCCCGTGGACCTCGGGCACCACGACAACTGCAAGGAGGTCAGCTCGTGGCGGAGTTTCGTTTCTTGTTGAAAGTGTTCATCTACGATGGAATCTGGTTTTGATTGTCACAGTTTCTCAATCGTTCAATCTTGCCAAAACGAAAGTTGTGCTTCATGATGCTTCTGAATGCTATTGGACATTCAATTCTTCACATGGGTACACTGGCCATGCAATACTCCTGATGCTGTCTTATTTTTCTCCGCTTCTGATTCCCTCCATGGGAGCAGGTGGTGCGGAAGGTGGTGGAGCACTTTGGGGGGAACATAGACGTGCTGGTGAACAACGCAGCGGAGCAGCACACCCACAAGACCCTCGAGGAGATCTCCCCTGAGGAGTGGGACCGCACCTTCAAGACATGAGAAATTTTTTGTAACAAAAAAATTTACAGATTGTGGTTCGACTTGAAGAGGGGTTTGCTGTAAAGGAGACATTCTCCTTTACCTTTCGGCAGGTCCTCGGGACCTACCACCTAGTCTCATTTGCAGTTTTCACTTCTCTAGTTTCCACCAGCACACACTAAACCCTTCCTATGCCCAGATCTGGGCATAGGAGCACCTTGTTAGCAGACGTTATTGCTGTCCGTTTTAATAGCATGACTGGCGGACTTGTCTCCGCTGTTGGCGGAAGGCCTCCCGCTTCTCGAATGAATTTACGGAGCAGTGGTCGTGGTGGTTCTCCGCAACGTGATGGGGATCGGGACTCCTCTTCACGTCGTGAGCGTTCTCGCTCTCCCCGTGGCGGAAATTCTGCTGCTGTTACTGCTCTGGATTTATTGAATCGTGCGCGACAAGCTCCTCCTCGAAGCCCGAGAGCTGCAGGAGGCGATCGTGACGGATCTTCCCGGAGCCCACTCCCCACCACGCGGCAAACCACTCGGGTGCCATTCAATTTACCGCATTTGCGGTTGAGGCAGTCACCGAGCTACTAGCGACAGGAGCGGCCCGAATGGTGCCCCCGTCGGAACCCCTCACATGCGTCAGCCCTTTAAATGTAGTCGTCCAACCTTCAAAAAAGAGGCTCATATTGGACCTTCGACACGTGAATACATTCTTGTCCGTCCCACGATTTCGTTACGAGGGCCTTAACCGGGTGCCCGACTTGGTGCATCGAGACGATTGGCTATTCACCATCGATCTGAAGGCCGGATACCACCATGTGGACATCCACCCCGCATATTGGCGGTTTCTTGGTTTCACCCTCCAAGGACAACGCTATCAGTTCCTATCCCTGCCTTTTGGGCTGGCCACTGCGCCGTTTGTCTTCACCCAACTAATCAAGCAGCTCGCAAAGCGCTGGCGCAGCAAAGGCATTCGACTTATCCCATATGTTGACGACATCCTTTTTATAAATGCCACTCGAGCTGAGGCCCTTCGCAATCGAGCTATCATCTTGGCCGACCTCACAGCGGCCGGATTCGTCGTCAACTCAAAAAAATCGCAGCTCGAGCCAAGTCAGTGCCTCAAATTCCTAGGACTCAGACTGGACACGCGCACAACCTCTTTCTCCGTCGACGCTGATCGACGAGAGCGATTGCTTGTCGAGCTCCAACAGACTTGCACGCTTGGCGGGCGGGGGCGGCGCATCCCGGTCCGACGCGTCGCTCGCATTACTGGCATGCTTGCCTCTATGGCGCTCGCCCTCGGCACCCTCGCGCGTGCCTTTTCGCACAATCTACTTTCACAAATCTCGGATTGCTCATCCTGGGGAGACTCAGTCCTCTTGAACGCGGAGTCAATTGACGAGTTGCGCTTTTGGCTCTCCCAGTTCGATGTGTTCAACGGTTCGTGTTTTCACAATCCATATCTATACGACATCGTGATGTATGTGGACGCGAGCGACAGCGCTTGGGGGGCTTGCTATTCCGCACCCGATGGTCGCGTCGGATCGCTTTCATCACACTTACCTCAGGCTCTTGTCGCCTCGTCCAGCACGCTTCGCGAACTCGCGGGAATTCTCTGGGCCCTCTCCTCCTTTGCTGACGAGGTTCAGCGCTGCCACATCCTTCTGCGCAGCGACAGCCAGGCAGCCTATTACATTTTGAGGAAAGGGGGCTCACGTCGTTCCGAGCTGACAATTGTATGCCGGGCCATCATTCAGCTCTGTGTGCGTCACAAGATTCGACTGACGGTCCAATGGATCCCGCGCGAGCTCAATACCGAGGCTGATACATTGTCAAAACTGGAACTTCACGACGACTACTCTCTCGCGCGTCCTTGGTTCCTTTTGCTCGAGAGGCGTTAGGGGCCTCATTCCATTGACCTGTTCGCCTCACCCACCAATGCACAGCTGGCTCGTTATTGCTCCTTGGAGTTCTCGCGAGCGGCCCTCGCGCAGGATGCGTTTTCAATTAGTTGGTTTGGGGAAAATTGTTACGCGTTTCCACCACCACCCCTTATTCCCGCCGTTCTCGCCCACGCTCGCCGCTCAAGAACCTCCCTCACCCTAGTGATCCCTCGCTGGCCTAGTGCCTTTTGGTGGCCTCTTCTACACCCAGACCGTTGGGCTAGTGATATCACCGCAACCCTTAGTCTTGCCTCTGGTTCCGACTGTTTGTGTGTTGGAAGTGATCCTTGGGCATTTAGTGGGGCTGGACTTCCTAACTCTCCTATGTACGCCCTTCGAATAATATTCACTAATAATTAATGCTTTTCATTACGCAGGTCACCAGCTCGCCCCCTTGCTCTTGGACCTCTTGACGCTCACCGTCGATCTCCGTGCTCAGTCTACAATTCGCACGTACGAGCCATATTGGCGGCAATATCGCGCGTTTTGTACCATGCACGCTCTTCCTTTACTTCCTTCAAGTGATTTGACCGCGGCGTTATTCCTACTGCACTCGATCCGCAATGGCGCCCCTATTTCGGCTATCCGTTCGACATGTTCCGCCATTTCGTGTGCCCATTGGCTCGTTGGCGAACCGTCTCCTGTTCGCGGGCCACTCTCTAGCCAAGTGAAAGAGTATGCACAACGTCATTGCGGACGACCATCTAAGGCTAAAGAGCCTGTACCCCCAGAAAAAATCTACGATATCTGCGACATATATTTTTCGTCATCCGACCCGGCCACATTCCAGCGGGGGCTGATCCCTCTTCTCATGTTTTCGGCCTTCTTACGCTTCTCTGACCTGATTTCCCTCCAGTGGCATCAGATCGAGTTTGACAGGGACTGCATGTGGCTATTTATTCCTCGCTCCAAGACGGACCAAGCCGGCAGAGGTGCTTGGGTCCCAGTGGCAGCATCCTCTGCCCGCCACTGCCCTGTCTCTCGTGTCCAACAGTTTCTTTTCCTCGCGGGCTACTCTCAAGATTCTACCGGCCCTCTTATCCGCGTGTTCCAACCGGGTGCCGGGGCTTCCCCTTCCGACCGTTCCCCTTCGTATGCTACCGTGCGGGGCTGGTGCCGCGATGGCTTTGCCCGCGTCGGCCTTAACCCGGATCTCCTCGGCACTCATTCCTTCCGTAAATCGGTGGCAACTGTAGCTGTCGACGTCGGAGTGCCGGACAGACTCTTCAAAGCCCTTGGTCGGTTGCGTAGTGATAGGGCTAAGGAGCTATATATTACACAACTCGATCGCGAGCTTGTCGATGCCTCTCGCGTACTACACGACCCTCTCCGATCTAGCCCGACCGATCGGTACTTGACCACATTCGAGAGGGGTCGCCGCCGACCTCTCCCCTGATGTCTCGTTCGACCTATGACGACTGCACTGCACACTCCTCTGAAAGTCGTGTCACAATATGAGAAATTTTTTGTAACAAAAAAATTTACAGATTGTGGTTCGACTTGAAGAGGGGTTTGCTGTAAAGGAGACATTCTCCTTTACCTTTCGGCAGGTCCTCGGGACCTACCACCTAGTCTCATTTGCAGTTTTCACTTCTCTAGTTCCCACCCTCCTCTCCCTTATACACTGGATCGCTTGTGCGTATCTTGTTCCCGTTTAGAACACCATATGTATTCCATATTATCGAGTGTGCTGTATACTTGAGATGTGAAATGCTATGACGACTGCACTGCACACTCCTCTGAAAGTCGTGTCACAATCAACATCCACGCCTACTTCTACACGGCAAAGTATAAGTCATGCATGGATGTTGCATGGTGAAACTGGCTTCTTGCAATGACTTGACAGCACTTGAATGCATCTGGCATGATTGCCCTGAACTGGTAATTGGAATCTGAAAATCATGGTTTTCTCAGCCCGGTCTTGGCTCTCCATCATGCGGCAGGTTTACAATTCTCACCTTTGTGTATCTGTTTCCGTGCCTTCTTCGTATCTGCAGGTATGCTCTGCCGCACATGAAGGAGGGTAGCTGCATCATTAACACCACATCAGTTGCCGCCTACAGTGGCAATCCCACTCTCCTCCCCTACTCCACCACCAAGGCTGCCATTGTTGGTCTCACTCGCTCGCTCACACTCATGGTGGTTGACAAGGGTATCCGCGTGAATGGTGAGCTGAATACTTTTACCCGTAGCAGTATGCGTGAATGGTAAGGTATTATACGAGTCTTGTGACATGCATATGTCATCCTTGGTGGTAGGGCTTGTACACATGTACAGTCCGTCAGTGATGCATGTTCAACTGCCACTAAACTTGCTGCTGTTTCACAGGTGTGGCGCCGGGACCTGTGTGGACGCCTCTCGTCCCGGCCTCGAGGCGAAGCATGTGGAAGGGTTTGGCAAGCAGGTGCCCATGAAGAGGGTGGCCCAGCCGAATGAGATCGCCCCGTCCTATGTGTTCCTGGCATGCGATGAGTCCTCGTACTTCACCGGCCAAATGCTCCACCCTAATGGTAAGAAATATGCCAATTTCTTCTCAGTATGTTTCTGTATTGACCACATTGTGTGTTATATATTGTGCAGGCGGGATGATTGTGAACGCATAGGGAGTATTGTTCGCTTTGTGCATAGGCTTGTACATAGGAAGGGAGCAGCTGTATCTCTGATAATGTTTTTGCTTTGTGAAATGATTGATGGTGATTAAGATGGAAAACAGAGAATGAAATAGGGTTGAGGTGTGTTAAGGGATGGAAATGTTGGTGGCATGTAAAAGCCTCCAAAAACAATGATAGGGAAATATTTCTTCATAATGTTGGAACATACGCCTCGTATTTCCAGCGATACACTTCAGTACAATTGTAAGGAATTTTCTCAATGTTCGTTAGCGCGCCCTGCAAGATCGCGCACAGCAGCAGCCGTTGTTCGCCCGTTACTGCTAACGGGGCTTCGCCAACTTCGCGCGCACTGTTTCACCAAACCTCGCACTGCTGGCCCGACCGTGTCGGCCTACGCTTCGGGACTAGTCCGAGCCTCGCTGCCAACATAGCACTAGCTAGCTCGCACGCACCGCAATACCGTT